TCACTCACTTTTCGTATTGGGTTCTTCTTGACGTAGTTTTCAATCTTGATTTCCTCACATACTTTCAAGATTTTGAGATCGAGATCTGACAGTTAAAAATTAATTTTGGACCTAAAATGCGAGTATATTTACATTTAAACAGACGTCATTTCAGCGCATCAAACATGTTAAATTTACCAAAGCAGAGAAACTGCGTTTCCTTCACTTTATCCTGGAAAGCACTGCATCTTTCAGGTTTATTTTTCACAGCTGAGGAACTGTTTATCTGTATTTCTCTGCTAAATACTCTCAATTTGACATCACAGTGGCCTTCAGAGACCCCTGAAACTGTCGGAACGACACCCAACTCGACTGGTTGCGGAGCCGTTCGAAATCCGAAGAATTTGGCAGCCATTATCCAAAATGGCGGCCATTTCCGGTACTTCCGGTGACTTCATCGTTGTCCTGACATCGCTAATGAATTCCCCGACCTCGAATCATGCGGAAACGACTCGTCGCACGATTTTAACAGTCAAAATTGAAACTTCGAAAATTTTGAACACTTTTAACCTTTAACGCCCCCGCATTTGAGTCCTAAGGGAAATTTTGACGTGTGCTTCGGGCCAAATCGACCATTTGGGTCAATAGAAGACGTGTGCAAAGTGGCTTGCTTGTAACCCAATTTGCAACGTGTTTTTGCTCTGTTACCCCCACTACTATTTTATCGTTTTTGAGGATGTTGCCGGTGACGGGGACCCGATTGCGGCACAGTTTCGGAAATGTCTCGACCAGACCTACCGATGGGGCGAATAAAAATTTTTAGTCGGTCGGTCCCCTTTTTTGAAGATAGAGTGGATTTTTGTTAAATTTAGGCCTACTTTATCGTTTTTGAGGATGTTGCCGGTGACGAGGACCCGATTGCGGCACAGTTTCGGAAATGTCTCGACCAGACCTACCGATGGGGCGAATAAAAATTTTTAGTCGGTCGGTCTCCTTTTTTGAAGATGGAGTGGATTTTGTTGAATTTTGGCCTATTTAATCGTTTTTGAGGATGTTGCCGGTGACGAGGACCCGATTGCGGCACAGTTTCGGAAATGTCTCGACCAGACCTACCGATGGGGCGAATAAAAATTTTTAGTCGGTCGGTCTCCTTTTTTGAAGATGGAGTGGATTTAGTTGAATTTTGGCCTATTTAATCGTTTTTGAGGATGTTGCCGGTGACGGGGACCCGATTGCGGCACAGTTTCTGAAATGTCTGGACCAGACCAACCGATGGGGCGAATAA